AGTCACACGTTGATCTGACTGGTGTATATTAGTAATATCCATTAATAACCATTTCATCAATCGAGTTTTTTCTATTTGGAAATTATTAGATCTTATCATTTAAAGATTTGACTAATCCTTTCTTAATTCAATAATCTTACTTTCCTTGAATTGTTCATTCACTTAAATTATATTTTAATCTTCTCAACAGAGAACTCGTTATATTTATTTCTGAAATCAAATTGTTCAGAAAATACAATACGTACCTCAAAAAAAAAAAAAAACCAACCCAGTGAACACGCGCAGAATGAAATAAATGAGGAATAATATAAAAGGAAAATTTTATTCCACGTTGTTAAATAAAGTTGGAACATAAAAAGTTTATTGAAATAAGGATCGACAGAAATAAAAAAAAAAAAATCTTAATGCTGCGGTAACAAAAAAAAAAAAAGATTAATACTCTCTGTATTCTCGATTCACAACTCTCTGTCTTTACTCTACGAAGTCTCGACTCTCTCTACTGGATTTTTTTACTGGATTTCGGATTCTCGAAATCTTCATTTCGCACACACAAAACACAAAACACTCGTACCCTTAATATTTCTGAGGGCGGCTGAAACAAATATTCGCAGGCCTAGCCTTCGCTGCAGATGGCGACAACTATGTCGTTGTTGGCCATTGGAGAAAGTTCCGGGCCACATATCTAAGTAACTAAATACTTAACGCACTGTCATACGTTAGCATGCAGTAATCAGTGATAATGCAGAGTGATTTGCAATCAAGATAGTTACCTGACCGCCGACCATCCCCTGACGAAGCCTAACCAGATCCGTTTGGCTCCAGGCGCTCTTGCTCCAAGGCGCGACTTGTCGTAGATCCTTGTCGAAATCAAACTCGGCCAGTTGATTGTGAACAAAGTTGCGAATGTTCCACGGCAGGTCATTGTGGCCGTCGATCAAAGGCACCTCGGAAAGAACCTGTCGCACGGTCTCCAACCTTTCCCTAGGCGATGTCAGGTGTGCAGTCTCGCCATCGGCTGGTCGCGGGCCAACTTTCCCGACCCAGGTTCCGATTGACAGTATGATCACGCTTGCTGTCCAGACACCGCTGTGCCCGCCACACTGGAAACGCCACGTTTCGATTATTGGCTGGTTAGTCAGCAATTACCGAGGAACATTCCGACAACTATGATAATGGTAAGTTAGTTCGGAGATGGGAAATTTCTCGAGGGCGAGACACTCGGTCACTTGGAGTTCGTTTTCCGATCAGGTTGGATCGATGGACTGTGGATGTTTGTGGAATTTCATACCTTTCTTCTTCTTTTTTTTCTTTCTAGAGAAATTAAAGGGAATTTGCATCTCTAAATTTCTTGTAAATTTAAATGTACGAAAATGTTCGGAATATAAAGTATATATATCTAAATCTTCGTTTAGATTCTACGATACCAATATGTGAATTTTCATGAACATCCACAGTCTAGCAAATAGATGGTAACAATAAGATGATCGGAGATGATTCAACGATATATGATAATGAAATTAAAGATTATACCTGTGGAGATCGAACGTTTAGAGAATTTTGTAGAAATTTGAAAGGTTTAATATTAAAAGTAAAATATTAGATTTGCAATGTGGTTGTTAATATCGCGTTGTTCGCGTATAAGAAAAATGTGAATATTTTCGAAGCTGTTGAGGACGAAATTTTCTCAATTATCAAGTGAATATGTAATACATATATAGGTACGCGTATATATGTAATCGGAATTCCATTGGTTATGAAGGATTTTCTGTCCGAATTTGTAAAGAACCCTCTGCCTTTTCCAGTAGCGTGGTAATATTATGTTTTGGGACCTTTTCAGCTCAGTTTCAGTTGTACGATTCCGGCGGATCATGGTTTTATGGCTGCGATTAGGGACGGTTCTATAATTCTAATCGCGCCAGCCATAAATACCAAGTTGAGAACAAGTTTTTTATTTAATTCCTCCTATTATTAACAACGGGGAAAAAAATCATACCTACGTAACAGATACTAATATCCAAAGATTTGTTAATACAGAATTCAATAGAATGTATAATTTAATCTGAAAAACTGACACATTTGTCGAAGGTTTTAAAAATATATATATTCAATGCTTATCAATCGAAAGCACAGTCCAAAGAAACGAGATTGATTACTTCATGACTTTATAACCCTGATAATATGCACAAGAAATCACTGAAAAACGTGTCCGGAACATCCACGCTGTTGCAAACGTGTTCTAATTAATTTCACTTCTCTCCAATTACTGCCAAATTCCCTTCCGTTCCATTAGCTGACACGTCAGCTTGATTAAAGCTTCATCGATCCTGAGATTCGGTTATCCAAGATCTTTCTCGACCATGAACTCCGCCAAATGGAAACTACAGTTCAATCAAGCGGTCAACCATGTAAACTCGCAATTATGACGGTCAAGCCGAGAATGAGATCGTACATTATTCACTATATACTGTTTCGATCTCTGAATATCTATCCAACTTTCTTCCACTCGTTCTATCGAAAGGCACGGCAAATAATAAAATACATTTTTTCGTTGTAGTAAATTATAAAGACCTCTTTAATTGAAACATTTCTTCTGTGTTAAAGTGTTTGGTTTGCTGTTAGATACGAAACTAAATTAGAGGTTTATTAGCAACGGGAGGTAAATTGGAGTTCTTCTCGAACTTCTTCTTCTTCTTAATCTTTCTTTATCACTATAAAATAAAACACCTGTGAAAATAACGTTCTGTCTTTTCTACGAGCGAAATTAATCCATCGATGAATTCTTCTATTAATTACAATTAATTATATACGAAATTAATCATCACTAATGTACAAAATATTCAGTCGCAGAAATTCATATTTACAATGTTCAAAGATACATTCCGAGTGAAATTGCTTCGATCATTACTTCTTATTCGAATAACAGGGATCTTGTAACAGCTTCTGCAAAAGTGTCTCGCGCTAATCTATCCGAGTGTCGTCCGCATTCTCAGCTTCGAGATTCCGAAGGGGGGGCGAAGAGAATACGCGATATCGAAAGAGCTGAAGGTGAGCAATGGTAGCTGAAGAGACACCGGAGAAAGCTTTGATGCTTTCGTCCAGAAATAATTTACTGTTTCATCCTGTGAGTTGCAAATATCTCCGTGAGGGACACGCTGATCTGTCATCGCGAGGCTCCAGCAGCTGAATAGTTTATGATCCTCGTCAAAGGAGCATGAATTCCTTTTCGCCGGATGGTCTGTTCGAGGGACGAGCTTTTCAAAGCGTGTTGGAATGCACGAAACGAGAAAAAGGGATCGCTTTATCCTATCTCTCCAATTATTTCGTCCTTCGTTTCTCGAACAGGTGCCTGCTTTCTGTTCGGTCTGTTCGATCGAAGGCGCGGAAAATTTGCTTCTTCCGTAAAACTATTTAGAACCGATTATTATTATCAATTTTAATGTATCAATGGTCGTTTAATTTTATTATCTCTACGAATTGAGACGAATCTTTATTTATTAATGATTTAATTTTAGCATGTTGTTAAAAGCCGAGAACAATGGATTTGTAGAGGATTATCGTTTGATGATCGTTTAATTTATACGTTCCTAATTGAATTGATTAATTGGGTCCTAAGCTATAATAATTATTGATGTAGCAGAACTGTTGTTTGAAAAGATATTCTCTTTATATTTTCATAACTTTCATAACTTTGAATTAATAACTATATAACGTAGGAAAGAAATTTTCCATGTCATAAATTTTCTTAATTCCAGAACATAATAATTTAATAGAAATTAAAGGGAAACATAATGATTTCAGGGAAACATAATGATTTAGTAGAAATTGAAGAAACCTGTGTTTGAATTGAATTGTTACAAAAATTTATCTATACCTTTGCTTAAAATATTCAAGGAAACTTCTGCATACGATCACATTGAAAAATTTCGTGATATACATTCGAGTATGATATACGAGTTTAATTTATGACGCGTGCTTGCGCATTAAATGAAGGAGTAAAGTTGATCTTCGTGTAATTGTTCGTCACGTCGTCGAGAGAAATGACGAATTGCATCTTGCCAGGAGAATGATCGATCGAAGTACTTTGATTAAAATGGAAGATCACCTGTCCGAATTTCAATTTACGTGGAAGGTAAAGTTTCCGTTTCGATGCATCTCCGATTGAGAAAAATTAAGCACAGAAAAAAAAAAAATGTCGCACAGCTGCATACACGTGAACCATCCATTAACGAAGCTTTCAGCTTTTTTTTTTTCTCTTCGATAATTAAAAGAAAAATCATTAAATAATTACTGCAATTATTATTCGAGATGTCTGAAATTAATAATACGTGAAAGAAATCTTTTATAACGTAATGATTTTTCATCGCAAATTTCATTCAGAAGAATATAAAATTATAAGAAATGCTCGAATTAAAAGAAAAAAAGTATAAAATCATTAAATATTATTTATTCTTATTAATTTCATTTCTTTTCCATGTTTCTCCAGTTAGTTATTTTTATAATCAAAATAATAAATCTTCTCCGTAATTTAGCCAATTTTTCAGATTAATAGGTTAGTAAATTAACATCATAAATTTCGACCATTAGTACATAGAGATAACTTGAGAGATGAATATTAAATGAAGAAGAAATCTTACATAAATCTGGATCTAGTATAATAAAATCCGAACGAAATGCAGTATCGTTGAGTTATCTTATATACTAAAAGGATTAACACGAAGCTATCATGGAAGAAAGAACGAGAAACACTGAACTGCTGAACATTGTCGTTTAGTTGTATGTTTAGTGTCTGACCAAATGGCAACTTGCACTACTTGCTTGTAACATCGTTGCCAGAGTCTGATAAAATATATGTTTTTCTACTTGTTCCTGAGTTGTAAACTTTCGAAATTTCCACGCTCTTGTGGGAACATCCGTAGGATAAAAATTTTATTTCAATCTGTCGTCGTTGTTTAAGCAGATTCACGAACATTTTCCTTTCCGTTTTTGACAACGGATCATTTGAAACACCTATTAAAATATTCTGGCCAAGAAGAAAAAGTTCAGAGAAATACCTGAGAAACTTAAGATTCTGAAATTTACAAATATAAAGAGTTCATGTTGGATCTGAATTGGAAAGATATTACGAATTCGTGAAATTTAAGTAGCCGCCGGTTAAAATTCAAGAATTTTATAACCGTAACACCGTATTATCACTATTAATTAAACGCAAGAGAATTTTCATCAGATCCAAATTATTTTTAGACTTTAATAAATTCAGTATTCAGATTTCAATTTTAATAATTTCAGTAATTTCTTTCCAACACGGTTAAAACAATTTTATTATAATTTCTTCACAGATTAAATATCTCTGGCAGGAAATCGTCTGCCTCTTCCCTCGATGCGAGTAGAAATAGACGATATCATCGAGAAATTGGCAGGCGTGCATAAAACATAAATAAAATTTAATCAAAGTCCCCAGGCGGTAGCGTTCGAATCCCCGAAAATGAATTCCATCCGAGACAAGTCCTCCTTTCGATCTGCTTTCTCTGTCCCCGATTAACAACCCATCGTGAAAATTCCAATATCGGCCAGCTTCAACGATGACTACATGTCGTCTCGTCGAAAAATCTCTCGCGATTCAGCGTGATTCGATACGGAATCGTCTACGAAATTTACATCCACCGGACGTTTTTATTAAAAGAACGTGAAGAACGTTTGTGCAGTTCTCTCTCTTTTTATTAACTTCGTCCACCGAAAAGTATCGGGACTGAAAAATGCAGAAACGCGAAAACGTACAGTAACATGTAACATCTAAAGGGATCTAGATAATAGGAATAATCTGGATAATATTCGAGCCTTTCAATGTTGCCTCTATCGTTATAGTTTACAAAGTGTGAGTGACGACAAATTTAAGGATGCGCTTTGGCAATAATCTCGTGAAATTTTCCATTCTTTAAGACCCAATCGTATTAACAAACTTCCGTGATTCGAGAAACAAATGGAATAGTACGTAGAATTCCTACGATGAAACGATATTGAACTTTCTTATTCGCGTTCGTGAGAATACAAATTTCACGTCCAAAACGAGCGGTCTAGTTACTGTTGTACGGGGGGGGGTGGGGAACGAGAACACGAAGACACGTGAAGTGTAGAGAAAATTCCTGTCGTTCTTGTCGTTCGTGGACATTGAGGACTGGCCAGCATCCAAATATCGAGGGTAATAAAAGGTCGTATTAAAGGAATGTACTCGAAGAAAGTACAGTCTTCGGCAACAAAGGGCGATCTTCGAATCGACGGGCCTGGCGCCGGGACGAGATTCCACGTGAAACCACAATGGGGTAGTTACGACCGTTCGAAAAGTCAGCCAGAAGATTTTTCCCCGCCCCTCTATGTTTCGCCATTTCCCTTCTGCTCCTTCTTGTTCAGCCTGGCTAGCAAGGTATATCTCGATCGTTTCCTCGAATCACTTATACATCGTTACCTCGAGCACACACCAGCCAGAATTTAACGCGTTCCTCGGATTTATCACCAGCCGCTGGTCGAGACAGCTACTTTCGAGATCTGGAAATGCGAGAGAAGCGCACACAGGGCGGGGAATATATATTTCCGAATCCCTGGGAGGCCGGGTATTTTTGTTTTAACTCCTTTCTTTTGCTTTGTGCTTTATCGGACCTGCGCGCGGCAGCGACGCGTACGTTTGGAATTTTGATAAGTCGCGGACTTCCGGCTGGCTGCACACCGCTTATTTTGCGTGTACTTGCGCGATGGAACGCGGTTTGTTGCTCGAACGAATCATGGGAATCACGCGATCACGTGTGTCTCAGCGATTTTTATTTTCCTCGTTAGGAAACGACCATAACGACCGATTAATTGTTCGGAATAATGTTCGCT